TCCTGGCCCTACTTGAATAGGTGACTATGTTCAAGTCTATTCCAAGAAATAGTAAATCATTTAATTAATGTATAGTTGACATTTGACTTCTAGACATGGTTTATAATCTGCTCTAGGACGTAGTTAGTAGTTAAGATATGGTGTGGTGGGAAAATGGAAAATGACTCAAGGCCCTGGAAACTGCTGTGAATACCCCAAACTGCTAGCGGTACCAGGAGTCAAGAAATCAGGAGACATATTGCATTGGGCAAGTCTTTTGTCAGGGACCTCTCAGGAACGCTAAAGAGCAATGATATCAGTTTGAATATTAAGGTGTACCTAATTCAAACCATGGCCTTCTCAATCAGCTGGTACACATTAGAGAGCTAGATGAGAATATGGATGACAGAAGAAGTGATGCCTTTGAGTCTTGCTGGAGAAGAGTATTGGATATCTCACAGACTGCCAAAAGAACAAATAGATACGTCTTAGAAAAAGTACAGCCAGAGTGCTCCCCGAAGTCAAGGATGGAGAAGCTTCATCTTTCATATTTTGGACATGTTGCTAGGCAAGGCTATTCAATAGAGCAGGGCATCGTGCTTGGCAAGATAGGAGATCAGTGAAGGAGAGGAAGACCTGCAATGATATGGATTGACACAATGATTTCAGGAATGGGCTCTATTGTTTCAGAGATGAAGAGGATGGTACAGGATGGGGTAGCATTTAGGTTGGCTGTTCACAGGGTCGTTATAGGTCATACTTTGATAGCACCTAACAACAACAACAACAAACCTGTTGAAAGGTGAGACTAGCTAAAGACACGGCAAGCTCATCAAGTTCTAAAGTTGTAGCTCCTCCATGTGTAGCTCTGGCCTGTCCAGATTTGTTTGAACTTTGTTCTTTAGGTAACTGCAGTTTTGATCCAACCAAGTCCAAGATGGTAAGTCTCAAATGAATGGTGCAGAATTCATAGTACTTGACTCCAACTCAGGTTGTTTTCTTCAGAAGGAAGCTGTAGGTAGAAATACATAGCTAGGGTGCTTTGGGTACAGCTGTCAAGGAAAGTGTATGAGCTGTAGAAGCAGCCCAGAGGTTTTAGTGCTGATTCTGCTATATACTAACTGTGGGGACTGAATAGTTGTCTTAACCATTTGGCTTCAGTTCCTTTCTAAGAAAAATGGAGTTAATATACAAGGTAGTCCATTTAGGAATGGGATTAACACAGTAAATGCTCCAGTTCTTAGTATCTGAAGTACTGATTAATTCTAAACAAATTTCTTGGCCTGACCAGGTCTGAGCAGATGTCTTGAAACTGACCTTTGGTGTTGTCAGTCTTTGTCCATGTGATTCTCTTTGTTCATGTGTCTATCTTTGAAAACTGAGGTATGTGGACATTGCCCCAAAGATGTGGAAATCCCTGTTTAATCTTGTTCACTGATTACTTATTAACTGTTATCATTGTGGGCAAATATAACTGAAGAAACTGATGAGTGGTCACTGTTCTGTACACAGCCTACAACAACAGTCTTATGAACACCATTGTTGATTATATTTGCAGATATTTGGGGAAGAATTAATCAGAAATCCCTTCTCTCCCCAGAGGGCTGCGTATTAAAAGTCACCTACCTTTGGCTTAGTAGCATCGCTTTCTGTCCACTGGGCCAGCTGATGTCTCTATGTTGATGTTATTGTTGTTAAGTGCCACGGAGTCGCAGGCGACTCATAGCTATTACTAAAGTAGGAAAGAAGTAGCAGTCACAAAATGAAACAATATACTGCATTGACCAAATTTGTTGCAAAAGATCTTTTCAAAGCATTTAACAGGAATATATAATTAGGCATTATATGTATGACAGTAGCCCAGAATAAAAGTTATATTGCAAAGAGGACTGGGGGAAAAGGGGAGAGGGAGATAATCGTACAAAAATGAATGAAAATTTAAAAAACAAAAAAGTCAACTAGGGAGGGGAAAGGAAAAGAGGGAGAGGGAGTAAAAATGTGCAAGAATGGATGAATGAATGAAAATCTAACTTTTCTGTAAATTTTTGTTAAAATCACAATTAAGATATAAAAAAATCTTAAAAAGTGTTAAAAAAGCACAGATGCCTGAAGCTAGCCATGGTAATTTTAATTCCTTCATATACATGTGAAAACTGCACAATGAACAAGGAAGATATAAAAAGAAGTAATGTATTTGAATGATTTTGAAATTCAGGCTGTCTTTGGGCCTGTTTCCAGGAGGGACTCAGAGGAGGACAGCATGCTTGGCAGGATAAATGCACAAGAGAGGAAGACTTTGGATGAGATGGACTGACTCAGTGGCTGGAGTAATGGGTATAGATGTGTTGGCGATAATGAAATTGATTCAAAATAGGGCAGAGATCAGTGCTATTGTATGAGTTGCAGGTGACTTGACACATAACAAAAACATTGCCAAAGAATATTGACTATATCCTAGAACCCCAGAAGAAAGTCTTGAAAGAAGTACAGCCAAAATAGTCCTTAGAAGTTAAGATTGTGAGATTTTGTTTTTTATGGTTTTTGATACATTATCAGGAGAGATCAGTTTAGAAAAGTGGAGGGTTAGTGAAAAAGAGAAAGACCTTTAAGGAGATGGATTGACAATGGCTATAACTATAGGTTCAAACATAGCAAAGATTGTAAGGAAGAGGAAAGATTGAACAGTATTTCGTTCTTTGGTGCAGAGTTGCTCTGAATCAGAACTGACTCAAGAGCACTTAGCAACGACCATGTATATCATGTGTCTAACTAGGTTTGGAGCAAATAAGATAATTTCTTGCATTCTCACATTACTTCCAAAAGTCAAAATCCCACTGATAGTGACTTTAATTCATAATAACCCTTCATTGAGTTTCCAAGGCTGTAAATTTGTATAGGAGGAGACTGCCCATCTTTCTCCTGATGAATGGATTAAAAATACTAATCCATATTAATCAAGTGCTGGTGGATTAGAACTACTGAGTTTTCAGTTTGCAGTGCAACATAATAGGCGCTACACCACCAGGGCTCTTTTCTCAACACTTCAGTGAAACAAAATATGTCATCTCCATTTCACAGGTGAGGAAACTACGGCTCATAAAAGAAAAGATGTTTACCTCATAGAAATTAAATTATAGCTAATAAGAAACAGATCTCTGGTGGTGTAGTCCTTAGGAGTTGCTCTGCTAACCCAGAGGTGGTTTCTCTCAGGCAGTTAAAATCCACCAGAATTTTCTTGGAAAAAAGTTGAACATCTTGGGAGAATTAGCTCCTCCAGTGAGATTTACAGGCTCTGAAAACCAGCTGGAGGGTCAGCTGAGAGTTGGATCTGCCTTGATGACAAAGAAAAAGAATAAGAAACAGATGTAGTAATAAAAACATCAAATAAGTATCTAAATAGAAAATGAGTGCCTGCTCTAAAATAATATTTTCTGTTCCTAGATACTCTTGGCTTCTCATAATCATGCCTACCTCATCATCTTCTAGAATTTGTTCTTGACCTCCTGCCCCACATTTTCTCAGGAAACCCAATAAGATGTTTCTACTTATACAATGTCAGGGATATATATAGATGTTTATAGGGATATATAGATATATATAATATATATATATATAATTCATACATATAATTCATATATCTATATATATATAATTTCTTACAAAATCCTAGCCTTAACTACCTAGTCCAACACTCCTGTTTCCTATTAACCAGCTGAGCTAGATGAGCTTCCAGTCAATTCAGCAGATTTATCTTCCATTGCTTTAGGCATCTCTGATAAAGCCATTCTGAATCTCAGCACTTTCCATGGAAAAATCCTGACTAAAAAAGCCAAGATTCTCAAAATTTGCTACACATTAAAATAACTTCCATTAAAAAACTCAACTCATTGCTATTGAGTCAGAATTGATGCATAGCTGACCCTCCAGCAGATTTTCAGAGGCAGTCATACATAGTTTTCCCACATTTTAGTTCACATGAGAACTTCTTGTGCTAAAATAAGTTTAAAACACACTTGTTAAAATTCATATTTCTGAACCCATCTCAAGAAAGCTAGTGTTAAGATTATGATCTGTATTCTTACCAATCATCCCAGATAGTTTCCTTACAAGTGGTTGGCAGACTACACTTTGGAAGATATTACATTGGGTGTGCCTGATTCACTGGCTATGCATTGGAGAGCTGGACAGTAAATAAGGATGGCAGGAGTAAAACTAATTCGTTTGAGTTGTAGTTAAGTTGGAAAAGAGTGCTGAATATCCCACAGACTTCCAAAAAAACCCAAACAAATATTTCTTGGAGAAAATGGAACTAGAATGTTCCTTGGAGGCAAAGATGCTGAAACATCATCTCACATATTTTAGACATGTATTTAGGAGAGGCTGTTATCATGCTTGGGGGACCTCATGCTTGGAAATATCAATGAATGAGAGAAAGACCCTTAAAAAGATGGATAAATACCGTGCCTGTGGCAAAGTAATCAAATGTGTCAAGGATGATAAGGATGGCACAGTATAGGACAGAGTTCAGATCTATTTTTTATAGGGTCACTATAAGTCGTGTTTAACTTGATGGCACTTAATATATAAACGGCAGCATTAGCGACATGGAAGTGAGGTGAGAACAAGAAGCCCCTGGCCCTTTAAGGACTGATTAAGACACTTCCTTTAAAAAGGTAGTGCAGAACAGGCAAAGGCTGTTTTCTTTCATCCTCTGGGGGCGGGGAAAGGGAACAGGTTTTGGAATGGGCCTCTCTTTTTGTGTTACCTCAGCCTTTGAATAAGTATTATCCCATGCCCAGCTTTGGAGAGTGGAGGAAAAGGGATATACTGCTTTGTCCCACCTTCATTTTCTGTTTGTTTTAATGCAAAAAAGACCAAGTTAAGAGATCTCTGCTGATCCAGGAGGACATAACATAGGACCTGCCTGTCTTTTTATTCTTACCTCATACCTTGTGGTTGTGGAACCAGGATGCAATTACCTGCATGAGGAGAAAGGGTTACTTCTTGGGCTGGACTTGTTGCTGAATGTTGGGACTTTCAAAATGGTCCTCTTCAGTATCCTTAGAACCCTTATTCTTTGGGGATTGATGCCTTTTATAGAAAACAGGGTCCCTATGACAAGGATGGAACAGTCTTCTGTTGCTTTCCTGGCTGAGTCCCCTACCTTGCCCCTGATTCAGGACCTGCTAGAAGAAGCCCCTGGCCAGCAACAGAGGAAGCCACAGCACCTAGGACATCCCCTGCGGTATATGCTGGAATTGTACCAGCGTTCGGCTGACGCACAGGGACATCCTAGGGAGAACCGCACAGTTGGTGCTAAAATGGTAAGGCTGGTGAGGCCCTTGGCCAGTGTAGCAAGACCACTCAGAGGTGAGTTATCTTACCCCTGTCGCGCTCCATTGTTGATTGCTGTCATGTCGAGCACAACTCTTAGCAACCCTATTAACAAAAGACCCGAAGTCTTTCTAGAACTATCATCCTTTCTCCAAGTTCTTAGAGTTTCCAGAGGCATGTGGTTTAGGAAGTGGATGTCACTCCTGCTTCCAATGTGTCTTGCTCTAGAGGAGTAAAAAGTGAGGCAGGAGAGCATAGAGAATAGGAAATATATGGATTTGCTCTCAAGTCTTCTTGCCTTGTGGAAAGGTACTTTCTCAGGCACAGTATTCAAAGAATTGCCTGCTTAAGAGAAAATGGCTTCAACTTAGAACATACTGCCTGAGGAATCTCTTCCAAGTCCTATGAAGACTAAGAAAACTCTTTGAGAAATATACATGCATGTTCTTATATCTAGCTTTTTAACATATTTTTTATTTTATTGTGGTTTACATACAAATTTATTTTTATGTGTTCTTTCACTCTTTAGAAGGCAAAAAAATGTAGTATGCTAACCTAGAGAAAAGGTTCCCAAGTAGTATAGTGCCTCACATGTTGAGTTGCTAATCAAAAGGTTAGTGGTTCAAATCTGTCAGTCACTTTATAGGAGACTGGTGGGGCAGTTTCCACTTGTAAAGAGGAAACCCAATGGCTTACCAATATGAATTATAATTGACTCAAGTGTGGTGAGTTAGTACGAGAAGAAAAAATTTACAAGATTTCATTAATACAGATAAGTTAACATCTGAGAGTCTATGTATCCGACTCTGTATCTGCTATTGTATTTAACCCTTAGTGGATACCATTGTCATTAGCTTTCAGTGGTTATTGGCCTAATTTTTAAAGATAGAAAAACTGAAGAATCAATTGGTAAATTGCAAAGATCACGGTAGGGACATAGCTTGATTTGAGTTTGTGTATCTGATTCTAAAGTCTATAATGTCTTAAATCTTTAAATGAAGTACTCTAAATATACTTGTACACCAAACAAGTTCTCAATTTGGGCCATGTTACTACTTTGGGATTTGGATACCAAATATATATATACATATATAATTTAGTCTCTGTCATGCTTGATTCTACTTTGGGCATCTGTACTAGACAACTGTAGGCTCTTAAAAGATAGGACTCTCTAGAGAATATCTTGAGTGCCTAGGGCCTAGTGAGTGAAGAGTTATACTGCTAACCCAAAGGCAGGTGGTTTGAATCCACCAGCTGCAATGAAGAATAAAGATTGGTAATCTCCTCCTATTTGATGTACAGGCTCTGAAAACCCTCCAGCGGGTTTTGAATTGAGATCAATCTCCAGCCTTCACTAATCTCAGATGACAACCAACTTTCTCCCTAACCCACCAGTAAAACAACTAAAGCCCCTCTAGCTAACTTTTGAAAAAATAGATAAATGTATTCATTATTGCACATTTTTCCCCTTCCCTCCCCATACTCTAACCCTCTCCATATGACCCCATTGTTCCAAACTGTTCTCATACATATAATGTACAATCATGTTTTCCTTTCAAGCTAACTCTTAATGTGGTCTAGGACAGGTACTTTGCTAAGTGCTTTATAAAAATTCTTTTTCTTAGTCCTCATCATTACCATATGGGGTGGGTACTATTAACATAACCATTTTGTAAGTGAAGAAACAGACTCTGGGAAATTTACCAAATGCCACATACTAATTAGGAGAACTCTATATCAACTGCAGGCTGTTAGCTCCAGAGCCTGTGTTCTTAATCACTATGTTAAGCTGCCTCTCCAAAATATTTTAATTGAGAACAGGCACTGTGTTTGGGTTGAGTATAAAGAGGTAAATAACTGATTCTCTGCCTCCCATGAGTTCTCAGTAAAATAGAAAGGATAGATAAATAATTGCATAATGATGTGATGATGTGACAAATGTTTTGTAAAGGATAAGCAATAGAACTCCCAGGACTCTTACTGTTTGAAGAAAAGTAATGAGTTTGCTGAGAGGTCTAATTGAAAAGAGATAATATTTTAGATGGATATTGGAGGAGTAAGGAAACTACACAGAGGCAGAGAAAACTCAACTGGCAATGAGTGACCACTCATTGGGTTCCAAATCATAGGCACCCTCCATCTGGTTTCTGAGGTATGGCAATGGAAGTAGATTCAAACCACTGGAGATGTATGATCTTTAAACTAGCTACACAACTGGCTATGAGACCAGAGAAGTGAAGTGAATTCAAATTTAGGAAAAAGTAATTTATCTTGGTTTCAGCGGCAATTCATTCAACAAATTTGTATTTGGCACCTATTAAGTGCCAGGCATACATATATGCTTAAAAAAAGCAAGACCACTACTTTCATTGGGCATATCTTCTAATTAATGAGACAGACAAACACAGGTAAATAACAAATTTGGTAAGTGCTATCAGAATGAAATGGATGGCTGTGACAGAGAATGGCAAAGGAATTCTTTTTTCCATGGTGTGAGTAGAGAAGACATCTTTGAAGAGGTGATAATTGAACTGTAGCCTAAAAATTATGAAACCAATCATGTAAAGAATAGAGGGAAACCCACTGTAGGGAGAGGGAACAGAATACTCAAAGTCCCAGAGGATAAAAGGGAGTTTGTGTTACTTAAAGGAAGAATAGGATGGCTGGAAGCTAGTGAGAGTCACAAAAAGTGGCAGAATCTAAAGCTGATGAGAGGCAGGCTCTTGTAGGTTATGATAAGGAATCTGGATTTCATTCTTAATTGCAGCGGAAAGCTATTGATCAAATTTCTACAGAAATGAGACATGAGATTATAAAAGAAAATACCTAGAATTAGATGAATATTATAGTCTGAATGTGGGACATGCCAGTAGCTAAAAGAATTAAGAAGTAGATGACAGAAGAGCAGGGCCAGTTGTTTTCATCAGAAGATGCCCCACCTGAATCAAGTTTGTCTGAAAAGCCATTCTAGGTTCAATCACACAGACTTCCTGGCTATACTCCTTGGAAACTCCACCCAGTCCAGGAAATTTGTGATGTTAAGGTCTCAAAGGAAGGAACAACTCCTCACCAGATGGCTAGAGGATTAGGTTGGATTCCTTTTCAAGCAGAGTGGACAATTGTGTGAGTGGGCTTCTTGGATAGATCATTGAGAAAGAAAATATAAGTAGCTTGTTGTCAAGTGCCCCAAATTTGAGAGTATATTAAACTCGAGTTGAAATCTCAAGATATAAAAATGCCCTGGAACATCAAGACATTAAAGGGCTTCTATCCTCCACATCGAAGGTCTACTGAGGAATTCCAGACTTGTTGAGTCAGTAGAGAAGAATTAGAAGCATAATTTATAAAGTAACATGAAAATAGTTGATAATATGGATGAGAGAAGACCCTTTTCTCTGGGCTTCTGTTTTTGCACACTTTGTTCTTAGAGGCACAGCGATTAGGATTACCTTCCAGTTTTTTGGATATCAACAATACACATTGGATTAAAGCTATTAATCACTAAAGTATGCAGCTTCTAGTAAAATTCTCAGCAAATACATTATTTTTGTGACAAAGGCCTTGCTGACATTTGTTTTAAAAATAATAAAATACCAGTAAAATTTGAAAGTATATTCTGAGCAGTTATTACACAGACTCTAGGAAACCATTTTGATTACAGAAAAAGAAAATGTAAAGGGCTCAATATAGAGGCTTATAAAGAGAAGGAGGGCTATTGGCTAATCTTAACTGTGATTGACTGGAATGGCCTAGTGATAAGGAGCTTCACAGTCAACTGAAAGGCATGCATTTTTAAACCCCAGCTACTCCATAGGAGGAGGATGAGCAATCTATACAATTACTGCCTCTGAAAACCCTCTGGAGAGTCAGCTAGGAGTCGGTCTGAGTTCAGGGTTCATAACAACAACAACTTTTACTGAAATTAACTGATATTACTTACAAGATAGAGATCACTGGTGCTGTAGTCTGTCTAGGATGTTGCTGGTAACCCAAAGGCCCTGGTTCTCTGGCAGTTCAAATCCACCAGTGGCTGTGAGGGATAGTGATTGGCAATCTCCTCCCATGTATTGGACAGCATATTGAAAACAAGCTTTAGGGTCAGCTATGGGTCAGCTCAGTTTATACTCAATAGCAATGAAATTTTTTGGTGACTCAAGGTGACCTCTGGCTTTCCCTCAGCCATATCTTTTGAAACTATAATCTAGCTTCAAACTAGAAAAAGACTAGCAATTTGGGGTTGAAAGGAAAGCATTAGCAAGTTTGATTTTTGGTGAGGAATTTTGAAGTGAATTTCCCAGGTATGAAAACCTAAAACTCAAATAAGATGACTTAATAACTTTTCTCTTTTGGGGAAATGATAGTAAATTGAATAGTGTAAATGATGAACAGCTACCAGAAATTAATGGAAAAGGAAGAGGAGGAAGGGGAAAATGGCTCAAGAAGATATTCAGAAAGAGTTGTGTGTGTATATGTATTGTGTATGACGAAAATATACAAAGCAAAACAACTTCTACATTTATAATTAATTGACATTTATTGCATTGTACCAGTTTCTCCATCCTTTTCCAAATTATTCTACCACAATTAACATAAACTTGCTCCTAAACAAAAATTTCCTCTTTTCCCTATCTGTTTCACCCCTGTTGTTGTGTACCATCAAGTCGGAACCATTCAGAGGCTGAAAGGAGGAGATTGTCCATCCTTCTCCAGTGGAGCAGCTAGAGGATTTGAACAGCCTGCCTTCAGGATTGAAGCATAGATTCTTACCACTAGGCCACCTGAGTTTCCTGTGACTTGCGTTAGGACTCATTTCTCTTAATGGCTGAGTAATAATATTCCATTGTATGTATGTAAAATATTTTGATTAACCATTTATCTGTTGACAGATACTTGAATTGTTTTCAACTTTTTACTGTTGTGAATAGTGCTATTAACATGTTAGTGATTCAGGTTCACCAGTTGCTCAAAGGGGGAAAGATGAGTCATTCTCCTCCCATAAAGATTTACAGCCTTGGAAACCCTATGGAAGGTAGCCA